AATTTTTTGTGAAAATCCGCGAATTATTTTTGTTTTGTTTTACGATGTACACAAAGAGAACATGTTCACAATTAATTTAGAAGATGGGCGCGAAGCGCCCTATAAGGCTAGTATTATAAATCTGAACTAGAACAATTGAACTGATAGGTTTATATTATAAATCTGAACTAAAACAGTTGAGCAGAATCTAAACCTGAAACGATCTATGTTCAGAGCCTGAACTATTCATTGCAGAATATAATATCTAACCTATCAGTTCTCCGTATATAGTATAGACTGTAAAGTGTACACTCATCTTAATTTATTTTCGAAGATTTAGATCAACAAATAGATAGATAGATAGTGAGATGCTGATTGCAATAGATAACTTGAAAGAAAGACAAATAGTTGCCTGGATTTGAGAACAATAATATTATTTGGCAATGCCTATATATTACAGAAGACAAGAAATGATATTTATACTGAATACAATGAATTAATGAACAGTAAATAATCTTCATTAATTTACATATATATTGCTTAATCCAAGGGATGATAGATGATTAAAAATAAAAGAATGAAGAATATGCTCCAACGAAAAAACAGAAGTCAAATTAAAGACAGTTTTTAAAAATTCCAAAGAAACTATTGTTGACGGATAACAGCAACACGCTAGACAAATCAGAATAGTAGGCCGGTAAGGATTCTGGTGGGGGATGTTTATTATCCCCAGACAATTCTTTCTCAGATGGCCGAACAATACACACACAACAGAGTAACCCCGTCTCAGAAATTCGATAACAAAATCTTTATTTCCTAAAAAAAATAACATAGATTATAGATCATGGTTACTTGTACAATGTTATAATAAATGTTAATAGTAGAAAAAATCTTACGAATTATTTGCTTATGGTCGGGGGTGACTTATTTGTTGATCAGTATTGAAATACGTTTTTTTTAACTTCTGAAAAATTACAGTTGAATATTTAACGAAATTCACTTATGCTTCTTATGAAAATATTTTGCTTAACTTTAATGATTTCACGACAACGAAAATATTTTAAGCTCCGTCGGAGGAGGACAATGGAATTTGCGGGCTGAAAATTTGGTTTGGCTGTCTCCGACAGGAGATTCCAGTAGAAGACGACATTTTATAGAGGTTTTAAAATTAATGGTTAACA